GTCTTGTAGCCTGAAAAGCAAGAAAGATATTATTATATTATTATACGATATTAAGATAAGATAATATTAATTGGTTCAGCTGTTAATACGTTATCAAATGATTACATCATCAAACGCTGTCTCTATTTATACATTGTAAGTTGGTTTGAATATGATTATGATACTCACATAGGGAGATAACGATTATTGTAGGTTGGTTAATTTTTCATACATTATTTCCAATTTTTAAGTTTGAAAATTAGCGTATAATGTTAAAATGTCGACTATGAATTTCATACTCCTTTAGAAAAAACCAATTATTTAAGTCGATTTAACTTCTTTGTATTTCGCTATTGATTGCTGGAAATTAGTGTATAAAAACAACTGTCAAATTTAACATGCTGGTTACGATTAACATACTCGTTTAAGAATACCGACTAGATTTGGCAATTTGCTGATTTTTCGCATCGCATTACCTTTTTATAGATCAACTAATAGACGTAAGTTACCTCTGACTATGAATATGATGACACTAAAAATCACTTTTTTAATAAATTTTAATTTTTCGGCAATTCCGATTCAGTTTGGATTATACGGTTTCCACGCACAGGATTATCGTTGAATTATAGAAATTTGGAGCTTTCTTCCAATTTTACTTTAGTGCAAAGAGTCTAACATGCTGATTAAAATAGAAAATCACTTCGTGCGTAGTATATTTCAGCCCCCAGTGTTCTAGCAATTTTCTGTAACTTTCGTGAGAGATAATTGGCCAATGAGTAACGCACAAAATAAAAGTAGAAAAATTAAATCCACTTAGCCTCAAACTTATGAAAGGCTGGGCCTGGCCGGGGATGTCAGTAGTACAAATGCAAATTATTAATCAGTCGGCTTATTTTCGATTATAGTTGTGGAAGCAAAAGTCACGCATTACAGTAGGAAGCGTCAAGTAACTATTTCAAAAGCGTTTACAAGCCTGGACCCTTCTTTCTATGAAAGTGGAGCTGTGAGATAGAAATCTGTACATTAAGTCCTACAACTAGTAACGACAGAGATCTCATTTGCTGTTTATGATTCTGTCTCTCTATCCTGCCCTGCTTTTTTGCACTATGGCTCAGACAATATATTTACTTGATGAAGTTCAGTGAAGCGAAAAAGTTCAAAGCATAGATAGTATAAGAAGACCTTAATAAAAGCTTTATCCAATATAGACTTTTTTTTTAAAATCTACGCAGAGGTATGATTTAAAAAAAGGCTAATCATTGAGATGAAAACATCGTATTGCACGATCCTTTATTTAAGAATCCAAAATGTACTACTTATAGCGCTATGACTTACTGCGCTAGAACTTTCTAACGGGTCAGTTGACATAGTGGTGCAATGCTTCGAGTACATAAGTAAAGTCTACATGAGACAACGGCAGGTAAAAAAGGAGCTAAGTTCCAAATTTCTACGTACGTGGTCTAACAGACTTCACTGACAGGATTTACAAACTATATTCTTTGCAATGCGGCTCTTAATGTAAAACAATACCTCAAATAGGCAACTAATGTTGATTGTTAACAATCACAGCC